GACCTGAAATCCCAGTGGCTCAGGAGGCTGAGGCAAGAAAATTATAAATTCAAGCCCAATCCTGTCTCAAAAGGAAAAATAAAAAGAGCAGTTCAGTATGAAGACCCTTGGACCAATCACCAATACCATCAATGCAAACAAATAAACAAAACCTCAAAACATAAAACCACGTCCTTAACTCCTTTTGTATCTGTACAACTGATTGCTTGTCCTTTTCAACAAAATTAATGCAAATAACTAACTGGTTTTAAAAAGCACAGGGTACACTTACTTGTCTAGCGTGTGTGTGACCTCAGGTTCAATCCCAAGTACCATGAAACAAAACAAAACAGCCACCCGCAACACAAACAGGTGTATTTCCTCAGTAGTAGGAAAGGAGGCTAAAACAATCAGTTATACAAGAGTTGGCCTAACAGGAGACCTTTCACTTAGTTATTTTATTATCAAATATCTAACTATTGATTTTTGCTCTCATTCTAAATTGAATTGTAATCTGTGAGGATACAAATTTTCAAGCTGCAGATTACTTTCTGTTGCCATGTTCTGTGCTTTCATGGACTGCTCCGGCTCACTTCTGTTCTGTTAGTTGCGTGGTGTGCTCCGCTAAGTCTCAATTATTAGTTAACAAGCATATCTCTGATCTACAAAGGCGGCAGTGGTGTGAGTACACGCGGGGGAAGCCCCCTGCAGTTCCTTCAAGGGTGTGAGAACTCAGTTCTCTTATAAGACAAAACATAAAAATACTGGAAAAAATGATCTCCCTGTTCAGTGTCAGAGAACAGTTTCAACTGGAAGAACTAGAACTGGAAAATCAAGTTGATGGAGAGTAGGAAACCAGTCCTATTAAAATGCCAGAGATGGTTCTGGGATCTAAGCGATAATGAGAGGTAATAAAGGACTGTGGGGCGGCGGGTACAGCTCAGCCGCAAGCCTGAACTGACTCAAAAGTCATTCGAAAGCCTTTCCCGTTTTCTCTAGGGCAGCCCTGAGCCTCCTGGAAGGAGTCACTGAGGAAAACGAAGGTATGGCTGGGATTTCTGCCTCTGTAGCCGCAGGTGCAGAAAAGCCTGGTTCTAACGAATCCTGTCAATGTCTTTAATGCCACCAGACTGACAAATACGGCAGAATAGCTATCATGATCCCATTTTTACTTCTTCAGTTGACATAATTAACGAATCTATTACGGGTAAGGTCACAAATTATTTTTAATTATTAAACCACAGGTCTCCATATGTTACTGTTTAGACAGCAACACCCACTGCAGAACACAGTTTGCAAGACCGTCGATCACACAACTGCAAATCTAGATCCAACTGTGGCCGGTTAAAGCAGATTTCAGTGGGGCAGCTAAATGAGAAAACATCTGGACCTCCCACTCAAAATGAGAAAGGGCGCATGTTAAATCCCCATAATCTTGTTTATTGGTGTTTGAAGGTTATATATACACCAAGGGCTGGATTACGAGGGTTCCCCTTCAGGCCTGGCTCTGACATCTTCATTCATTCGCTGCACACGTGGCACTTTAAAATCCAAGCCCTAAATCCACTGTGCTGTTAGTCCCTTCCGTACGCACTTTTCCCAGCAGCCTGGGTACAGTACTACGTCAAACTATTGCTGGGCCCCTGATTAAATTCTGGAAGACGACATACAACAGAGCTGTCAAGGGGGATGTCTATCCTTTGAAAAACTATTTTGCAGATTTCCATCCAGCATTGCTCTAGAGATGAAGCACCTGCAACTTTCCCTATCAAAATTTGAAAGGAAAAGCCTTTGAGTTAGAAGGAATAAAATTAAACGACTGCCCCAGGATTGGCTCGAGAACAAGCACAAAGAAAGGGGAGTGGAGCCGTCTCACAATTTTTCATAATCGGTATATATTACTCCACACACAGACTGAACTAAAGCAAGATTGTTTATGTTGGAAGCCACTCCACAGAACTTTACGTACGAAAGCAGCAAAGCCAAGAGCCTGAAGACCTTACACACTTTGGTCAGATTTTTTTCTTAATCATTTTTGGCATGGCAGACCTCTTGGAAAACTGTGCTCCCGGCCCAGGAAAGCATGCATACACTTGCCTGTAAGCACAAACTTTCACATACTATTCAGAGATTTCTCAAGCCCTGACATACGCGGTTGAGAATTTCTCTGCCTTAGGCCTTTAAATACGCTCTGGGTTACACGGAAGGAGCCTTTGTGGGTACTTTGTACACTGTGCATCCCAGTAGTTCACACTCAAGCTTTCTGCTCAAGTCTGATCAAAGGAATCTTGAAATATTATATTTCTTCCTTGAGCACTGTGGACATTAAGAAGACAGTAAGTAGACATCAATGCTTTTTCGTTGTAAGTTTACATCTTTTTAAAAAATTAATTAATTTATTTATTTATTTATTTTTGCGCCAGGGATCAAACTTGGGATCATGCACTTGTGAGGCAGGCAGCAGCACCACTGAGCTAAATTCCTGGCCTCCCTGTAAGTTTAAATACTCTTTAAAATACTCCTTTGTTTACCTGTATTATAAATACGGATGGTTTAAAGTAGCAATGCACACTTTCTTCCTCCCCCCTTCGTGCCTCTGTTCCTTCCTTCCTTCCTTCCTGCCTTCCTGTCTTTGTTTTTTGGTGGTGCTGGAGATGGAACCCCAGGCCTTGCACTTTCTAGGTGAGTGCTCTACCGCTGAGCTACACCCCCAGCCAGCAGTGCATCTCTCACTGAGAGAACAGTTAAAGAGTTTTGTAACTGGCCCTTTGGCCCCTTATAGATGGGCAAGAGGTGTTCTTTTCTGGGGCTGCCTTTTTAAAAGTAGCACAGAGAAGGACCACTGTAGAAGGGAGGCGGGAGAGAAGACCCTCACTGGCAGCACCCCCAAAACCATTAGGTATCACAACCTGCAATAAAACCCGAATACCGAGGTTTCAGTTTAGAAAGAAACAACTCACACATTAACATCTTTTGTCTTAAAAGAAAAGCAACTCATGTACCCTAGGTTTGCCAGCGCTGGAAGGGAAGACAGGTTGCAGGAAGAGAATGCCCTGAAGGTGAGAATCCAGAGCTAATTCCCTTACAGTCACTCACACCCATGCAGTCCTTGAACAGTCTTGCCAGTGTCTGAAGAACACTGCTGAAATGATTCTATTGCCGAAATGTACTTAGGTGTTCTTTTCACTTCCTTCCATTCAGCAACAATTACTTAAAGAGTACACGTGAGCAGTGCAAGGGATGGATGGATGAGCAAATGCTTGGATGGAAAGATAGAGAGGAAGATGGATAAATACTGAGTGTTTACTCTCTGCCCAGAACTTTGGCTGAAAGGAAGAATACAACCGACAGGAGTGGTGGCACAATCCTCTGGGAGGCTGAGGCAGGAGGATTGCAAATTTGACCCCAGCCTGGGCAATTTATTGACTCAGGGAGAACTTATCCCCCACCAAAAAAAAACAATTAAAAGGGCTGGGGATGCAGGTCAGTATGGAGGCCCTGGTTCAACGCCCCCCCAGTCCTGAAGGAGGGGGAGGAGAAGGAGGGGGAGGAGAAGGAGGGGGAGGAAACTTTAAAAAGTCTTTGAGCCACAGTAAAGCATAACAAGACACTGCCATGACACCGGTGTACGAGTTAGGCTGTGACAGGACTCATGATCACCTCCACGTGCCCACTGCTCTCCCTTCTCAGACAACAGGGGGCCAAAGCTGTTTGCCATCATGGGAGGGGGCAGGAAGTAACTGCCTCCTGAGCCTCTGGAACTTTCTAAAGATGTCAGCTGTGCCCAGCCTGAACTGCACTGCCGTCGCTTGGTGATTTTTTTGTAGTAGTACACACCCAAAACAACTAGAGCTGCGTGACTTTACAACAGTGTGACCAGCATTTGTATTTTGCAGGGTAAGATTTCTGGGTCCAGTCTACCGTATTGTAGAGACATCATGTAATTGCTTCACATTCCCAACAACATTCTCTTCATGCAAATTACCAAAAAGTGAAAACAAAAAACAAAAAACAACCCCCTCGGGACCTATTTCTGTGCCCGGCTGAGGCTGAGGGACCAGCTCAGTGGGGGAGGGGCTGGTCCGCCTTTTGCTGATGTCAGGCGTGGAGCTGCGGCCAGTTTCAAGCTCGTGGGCTCACAGGATTCCTGAGAAGTTAAGCTGGGGCTGTGAGCCGGCACTGGCACACCACCGGGATGCCTCTTCCCCGCCCTCGGCGGGTGGCCTGCCTGTGCTGAGAAAAGGCAGCAGGGCCCACGGTGCCAGGTCTCCAGGGAAGGGCCAGACTTCCTCTCCTGGGCCAGAGCAGCTGCCCTAAGAGTCAGGGCTCCTGTGTCTGTTAACCTGAGGGAGGGGGGCACCAGCCCTTCCGCTCCACAGAAAAGCAAAGTGAGAAGGGAAACTCCCCAAGGACGCTCCAAGGACGGTGGGCAGACCCACTTCCCTCGAGCCAGTTCGGTTGTCTGTTCTTTATCTTCGGATCCCAAGTGTCTCACCCTTTTAGTTCACCCGGCTACACAGCTTGGTTAACAACAACAACAACAAATTAGATGTTTTTTGCTAAAAAGAGTCAAGGAGAGATGCCTTGGTTTTATCAACAACAGAATTTAGCTGCTGGCCAGGGCGCGAGCTGTCTCTGCCCGCTGCTAGCAGGCCCAGAAATCCCCTGTGAGTGAACTTCTGCAGCAGGCTCTGCTGATTTTGTGAGATAACCCTGCATCCCATGAGCGGCAGGCCTCAATCTGGGCTGGAGAGATGTAATATTTTGATAAAAAACGGCACTTCCGTTTGAAGCACGGCTCTGCGTGTGCT